TCTCGCTCAGCCTTAAATTGCATGGGCTAGGGCACTCATTGACTCATACCACGTTGGCAAGCTCAAAGGCGCGGGTCATGTCAGGTGGATGCGGGTATACAACGAGCAGATGCAATAAGGTTGGTATACCGTGGTGACGTGCCTCATGTGGGGGCACGACAGTCAGTCAGCAATAGAAATGATGGATATAGAGGGCAAACAACTTGCTTTTTGTACTCCGCCAAGCCCTGCAAACTTCCCAAAGGCCACGCAATCAAAACAGGGCATGACTCAGCCTCAAGTCCTTCCCAGGTCCTTCCCCACGTATCGGAGCCAAGGGGAACCATCCCCAATGAGTCTAACAACAAATAAAAAGTTCCCCTCATAGTACTATAAGGGACAAAGGCTTTTAATTAAAAGGAGGAGTCTAATCCTTTGGATTTCCCCTGGAAACTTTGAGGCACAAGTACCCGAAGGTCCCAATTTGAATGGCAACCCTAATAATAGAATTCGCTTCCCTTCCACGACCCAAACTAAGTGGTGAATGATTATCCCTTTAATTTTCTTAATGGCATTGCTTGCAATGGGGCCCAATAATCAGGACCTCAATATGTGTTCATTAAATGCCGCACCTCATGCAGAAGACCCACAATGGCGTTGAGATTATGACAGTAAAACACACCTTGAGGTGGGTGCGAAGAGGTGTGGAGGCATGGTAGATCTGCAACTCCCAATAGTGTCATGGATCGTCCAAATTCTACAATAGGAGGCCTTTCCCCTTGGCCTCTTGCCCACTTGCCCGGAGCACCATTTGTCCTTGCAACCATTGTGCAAAGCCAATATTGCATCTTTGCTAGACTATGCCAAAGGCAACGAAGGTGCAATTGCATGCTTGTCTATCCCAAAAAACATAATCCCTTCTAGTTCCCTAGTTGCATGGTGCCAATTTAGTCGGCATGGCTAGCCATGGCATTGTGGATCCATAGGGCATAAGCTCTCATCCATGCTAGGTTACCATATGACAAAATGTAGGTGACAATGAGCATGACCTACCCCAACCTTTCCAACGCAATCTAGGACTCAATTTTGTCACACCAAGTTTTGTTTCGTTTTGTTTTGTTTTGTTTTGTTTCGTTTTGTTTTGTGATGTTTGTTGTTTTTGTCATTGCACGTAGTGGTCACTGAGGTGGCCAAGCAAGAGCTGGCCAAATATGGCATAATGGGGTGGTGGCCAACATTCGTTATAGATGCAAGTGGTAATGTGTGCAAAGGCATCAGAGGCATTGTATTCAAAAGGACTGGTGGAATTGCCAATCGGTCCAGGTGCTGTTGCCATGTCTTACATAGTATTGTCATGCATGGGCTTGACAATTGGAGAGATGTGCATGCCCCCACCATCCCAGGTTGTTAAGGTGATGGCCACGGCCATTGAAATGTATGTTGTGGGAGTGCCTTTTTGATTGTGGTCAATAGCCCGTGGTTAATAGCCCATGTTTGATAGTGAATAGTGAATGGTCCATGATAGTCAATGGCTTTTGTTCTGAATACTACACGTGCTTGTGCATAGGGTCAAGTTGTTGGTGAACCATAAGCGGGCGAGCGTCAAGCCGACCGCAGAATTGAGGTGCCTGCAACTCTAGTGTATCAAATAAAGCGCCCAATCCAGTGCCCAGACCAGTGCCTTGAATAGCAGTGATGAGGACCCCGTGTCAGCAGAGGAGGTGGACTTGGATAAACCCAATGGTGACGGCTAGCAAACCCCCATTGCGTCGGCCCCTCCAGCTTGTGCAAGCGGTTGACACTAGGTGGAACTCCACGTATTTCATGCTCCAACATGCACTACAATTAAAGAAAACCATCCAATTTGGTGGGTGGTTTAAGGAGCATGAGAAATATACCATGCCAATCGAAATCCGCCACTGGACCTATTTGCAAGTCCTCGTCCATATCCTCGCTTCCGCCAAGCAATATAGTAAGCACTTGCAGGCTGACGCATATCCAACTAGATTACAAGCATTGGTAAAGTTGTGGGGCCTAAGTTGTTTTACTGGCCAGAATGTAAAGCAGGACAACAAAGGCCCTTACAACACCATAGCCCCAAAAATGCATGGATATGATAGAAAGTTGTAGGAGGCAATGGACGTGCCAACATGGATGTGGCAACTCACATTTTTGGTGTTAATGAACCCACTAGGTGAGTGCGATTGAAATGCAGCAATTTTAATTGCACAAATTGTATCCTACGTTTGTCATTCTCCCATCCAGTTGCTAAGTGGTTCATTTTGCATTCCAGTTGCTGAGGTGTTTATTGTGCGTGCGTGCATGCATGTGTGCATGCGCGTGTTGGGCGTGTATGTGTAGGGCACAAGCTAGATGACGTCCACTTGTCAAGGAGAGCATGTGTCGCTTGACTATATGCGGGGGGAGCTACAAATAGAGTTCGAAAACACATGCCCGGCGTTTGCGAGGGACACGGGGTGGGGGCCACCCACAAAGCAAGCGGCAGCAACCCCGCTTGCACCATAGCACCACCGCCGTCGAAGATAGAGAGCAAAACGGGCTGCGACGGTGCGTTGCACATTCGCCATAAGCCTAGAAAAGTCTAGTGGAGATGATGAACAACTGGTCCCTACCACACCTTCCGAGGTGGTGCCAATCAACCAATTGTTTGCGGCCATAAAGCAGACTATCAAACAACATGTCTCCGAGTACATCCATGACCAATGGGCTCTGTATGACTCATGCGTTGCATGTGAAAAAGACAGTTTGGCATACTGGGCTCGAAATGCCGGGCGTTGGCCAATGGTGACCATAGTTGCACGCAATTTACTATGCATACTGGCTGTTACTAGGGCGTTGGAGAGGGGTTTCTCTAGGACAAGGCATACAGTCCGGCCATGCATGGCCACCCTCTCAAATGAGAGAATCGAGAAGTGCACCTTCCTTTCAAGGAACCCCGACGAATATTCTTTTTGGTTTTTGTTGTATGTTTTCCAAGGGTTTGTCTTGTAAAGATATTTCATTAGGATAGACATTCATTACGATGTAAGCATGCAAGTTGCCTTATAATGAAGACAAATCTTGTGTTGCTCCTTGTGTGGAATGTAGGCCTCTTGGGCTCTCATGACTTAGAAGTTCCAATATGGCTCGAGTTGCATTTGCTACGTATGTGACAGTGAACCTGGTGTTGTGGGCGGCTGACCGCGGTTGCAGAACAACTATATTCAACGACCTGCAAGACCAAGCCATCTGCCACATGCACAACAAAGACACCTTGTTCAAAGTCTTAAAGTCCGGTCTGGGATTGGACTGGACCGGATTGGACTGGACTGGACCGGGCGAGGACCGGTGTTGGCATGGTCCCCCCCTAGCCATGTCCCAGTACTTTGGCCCATGTGCTAGAGCCTCTCCTATGGAAGCGTTGTCATCCTCGGCCGGATGGCATGTCCCGGGCTCTCTCTGGCGCTGAGTGATGGGCATTCTGCGCAGTCCCATGCCAGGTGCACAGCTTAGCTGTAGCCTAGCAATAGCCTATTGCGCTCGAGGAGACAGGGCAGGCTCTGGAACAATCGGTCACTGCAATATGGTGTGGCCTTGCCCGCTTTTACATTCCGCAAGACACAATTCCATTATAGTCCAATAAACTTATTAACTCCATTATCTTTGGCAGCCGGGGGCTCAACCAACATAGCTAGAGAACCCTTCAAAGGCCTCTGCATGACCTCACTTCACTCGGCCGAGCTCAGCCCCTTACGGGACCTTGTAGGACGTAGTCCCCCGAGTAGTTTGCCTGAGAATTCATGTAACATTACCACAACCAAACTGGACCGGACCAGACTAGATAGGACTGGAATCCAACTCTATCCAGCCCAGGACCTGGTCCACACCCATACCCAACCCCCGTACACACCCAGCCAAACCCTGGTCCGTGCCCGGTGCCAACCGTGTCCAAAGCCAGTCCAAAAAATAAATCCAGCACTAGACAAAGACCAAGTTGGACTGAGTGGACTGGACTGCACCAGGACCGGGACTGGACCCAAACCGGGACTGAACCCAAACCGGGACTGGACCCAAACTAGGAATGGACCCAAAGCGGGACCGGACCTGGACCACACCGGGCAAAGACCAGGCCTAGACCCAGTCCCGGTCCTGGCAGCACATCCCACAACCCACCTCTGGTTGATATTCTTATCAAAATAATCAATGTCAATTGCTCTCATCCCTATATTATCACTATTAAACCAGCTATCAATTTGAAACAAAGTCTTTAATTTGCACCATTGCACCACATTGGTGTAAACTAAGAATGTGGATAGATCTATCTTGACTACATATAGGAAATAGTTAAATATGTGACCATGAGCCTTATTCTTATACTAGAGATCAAAAGAAACTAATTGATTCTTGAATCATTCAAAATGAGTTAGCGGTTGAGAGGCTATAATCAATTAAAATTGCAATGTTTCTCCGCAAGGCCATCAGCCGCATAATTGCCTGTTACCTCGTCGACTCACAATTAAAGCTCACACTATTTCTATTACAAATGCGCTCGCCACAAATGTCCGTTAATTGAGCCGAGAAGGCTCCAAAGGAGTGGGATTGGATGTGGGCTGGGCATCATCGCACCGCGAATCAAAATCCAAACAAACACAATATCACAAACTCATAGTACAACCTCATCACATTGTTATATTTGTAGTTATTAAGACAATTTCATATCTCTATAAAAATAATCATATCAATCATGCCACACCCCCTCTTTTATTAATCCTTTTAGATATGCTACAAAAATCCACTATTGCAAGTCAACAAGATAATGTCATGTTCCCTTAATGCTTAGCGTCATCAATCATGTCATATCGTATATTTTTATTCACCCTGATAGACGTTTCCACAATATCACCATTCTGAATCAACATGACACTTTCATGCCCACCTAAACTTGGCATCGTCCATGATGTCGCATTGTGTCTTTCAATCATCCTCTTGATATGCCCCACAATATCATCACTTTTATGTGATTAAAATCTAGGCAACAATTTTTTAGACACTTTCATAAAGACACCTTGTTGCTCTCCGACTTTGATATTGTTGTTTGCTTTTGCATCCTTCCATTCCACTCTTTCATTCTTCGACTCCAATCCATCACTCTTCTTTTGTCTTGATGCTTGAGGGATTGATAGTTTGTGTATTGTACTCAAATGTTGGATGGGAGACGTCCAAGATGGTCTTGTATTAACGCCTACAAAATCAAAAACTATTAAATCAACAAGTAAACACACCATAATACATCATATTAATCATTTATCATTGTGCCGCATCACCAACAATATACTCATAATTAGAGTGCATCAAAACAATGACGTCAACTTTAAATATTGTGGTATTGAGAAGCATATGACATGATCAAATTGGGTGCATAGAGATGTTGATTATTACATGCTTGGCCAACAGAAAATAGGATTTTCAACTTCGTATGCTTAGCTCCAATTAAATGTTAAACTCTAACCCAGCACACCTTCTTCACACCGATCCTTCTTTTGATACAGCGATGACTCAACAACATTACCCAGTAGTGCAATGCACCTTCAAAATGTTAAAAGAGAATAATTAGAGTAGCAACAATTGTGGGGGCCTCAAGAATGAGATGCTAGAGTTATTGTAGACATTTGAAGCAACCCCAACATCTATGAATTGATCCATTCTAGGTTTTTTCTTAAACAATGAATGCTTGATGGAAGTTTTGGAACAAGTTATGAGTTGTATGTTGATGGTCAATGGTGGGTCAGCATGCACTTACAAACGAGGTAGTGTCACATGTCGTTGGTGTGGGTGGAGGGTGGCTTCGAGGATGAAACAAAGCCAAAATAAATGATGCACTACAAAGGGCACATAACCACCTTCTGCACATGTATAAGCATAACATGCAATGCATTCACAACATGCCAATCAATTTATGGTATGCTATAAATGCAAGGCTACACCACAATATTCTTGTACTTTTGCAATGTGTATGCTTCATGATATTGCATTGGCCCTATCTCCATAAACATAAATCATGAAACAATATTTGTTGCATATCAAAACCTTCAATCTACTTGCCTTTGCAAAGTGATATGCTTTTGCAACAAAATTTGCATTGAGCATATTGGTGGAAGTCATCCTTCTTGTCAACACCCTCCCATGTCTTGAATGCACTCTTTGCCCATGCAACTTTGTTGAAGCGAGCATCCGCGCTGCTTTGAAAGGCATATTCCAACACCACACTTAGTAAAAATAATGCAACGACCAATTTCTAGTTAATAACATGCTCTATAGCAGTTTTCCATTTCCCTTCAATTGGAAGTGGTCGTATATCCCGGTCTAAGCCAAGTATTGACATGTATCATAAAATACCTTAGCCATTACAAATGATGTAGATAATGCACAATCATCGCTGCAACCTCATCACCAAAAGCAATGAGCAAAGCCCAACACCTGGTTAAGCAAATGCGCAAACATCAAACAACCATCAAATGTCCCAAAACACAAGAAAATGCCACATCAATTATCATACTTCACTTGCAAAGTACAATTGCTACAAATTCGTCTAAAGTACAATTGGAAATGCAACTAAAATAGGTGGTTCAATGAGAATATCAGCTTGTGTTGCGCACCTTTGTGCCGATTCTAACATCTTCTTCATCAAGATTTCTGCATCCTCGACATCCGAAGGCTTATAAAGGAATGCGAAAGAAACAGAAACACAAGTCAGCACCATGCACAAATATTTTGTCCCCTCCACGCTCAGCTAATGTACATTTTTTCAACTACAATAGGGCTCCCTATATAGCGCCCCACAATAATGCACCCTTTTGGGGTTTGTCACCATTTTGTTAGTACTTTATGCAGCTTCAATGCGTGGTGGGACCTCAAAGTACTAATGTGGACATCAAAGAGGTGTCCGGTGGACGGAGGCCGCGGTGGCCAACCGTTTGTGCGACCTTGGCATACCGGCAGACGGCACATCTACCGCTGGGCCGTTGACCGACGTTGACCATGGAATGGGCACAAGATCATCTTAACCGGCATGTGTGGGTGGTGCACAGTGTGCAAGGTGGTGTTATGCGGCGTCACCTCATGGTGGGGGTGTGGGCGGCGGCCCACAATTTGCTTGGGAGGTGGCCGCCGTGCCTCAACTTTTGTGTTAACATGGGGGGAATGCTGGATAACGTGGGGGTACTTCGTCCATAATGCCCTTGCGTTACAGATATTTGCAAAAAATTTCTGCATCTGCACTGAGCATTTATTGCTCAATGTGGGGGGGCGTCATCACTCGTTCTCTATAGTATACAGGCCCATGCCTGCTTGGGCGTTGTTGTGATTTAGCTGACTAAGGACTTTGTTGTTTTGTTGTATTTTCTAGATCAGAACATATTGTTTCCAGGACCAAACCTTTGGGAGGAATTGGGATAGGTTTCATGCTCTCTTTGATTCCCAAGAATATGGAGACATTGTTTGGGATAGTAGCTTCTACTAGATGCCTTGGAAATGTCTTAGAGTTCTGGGGATTTAGGATGTATTCATTGCCTAACATGGTATTAAAATGGGCCCACCAACCATTAAACGGCAATTTGGCTGTGTTAGCAAATGTGCTGTACGACTATAAAGAACTTGTTTCGATTGCCTCGTTCCCTACCTCCTGCAGTCTGTATTCATAATGCCAGCAATGCTGTGCAAGTCCACGTCATGAGTTGTGATAGGCACTGTGTAACATCAATGCAAGCCCCGAATGCAAGCCCCAAACACAGTGTTCCACTATTGTAACATGATGGCACATCGTACACGCATGTGATGGGTCAATTTGGCATCTCAATAGGCCATAAAATGGCTAATGGGTCTATTTCGCTTTCTCTTATGATGGGGAGTGTTATTTTATGACTAAAACTATAATTAATTGCATTAAACAAATAAATTCTTTAGCGGGCCCAGATCCCAATGGCGGCCCCTTTTTGGCCATGTCAACGGGGGAGGGGCTGGGCTATATAGGAACCCCTGTTGTACTGCCAAAAAATAGTGTCCATCGCAGTACTTTATGCTTCTTGCATGGCTTTGGCCCCTATCGCTGAGAATGAATGTAATCTACACTCTTACACCTTACCTTGCACAACGTTGTGCCTTCTTTGCGTATAAATGTAGCACCTTCCAACTCCTTGCTCAACCACTGAGCTCTCTTTCTCGACTCTGCAAATCGGTCTTTCTGAAAATACAAGCAACGGTACAGGTTGAACGAATTTAAGGAATGATTTTGTAAAAAAGTGCATTCATACTTGTCACACTGCGCAAATAGTTGTTCAACAAAAGCATTAGCTTCTCATTGCCTCAGAACAACATGAACAATATTCACGTTGCAGCAAGGCGAGCAAGCAACAAATGCCATCAAATGCATTGCTAGAAAATCAAATGCTATATACAATTCTTCATCTATATCAATATTGCATATCTTATTGACATCTAATCATATTGCACGACATGAAAGAGCACATGTACATATGCATTTTTATTAACATCATCCAGATCATCTTGCATTGTTAACACAAATTCTGAACCTTCTTGCCACCCTTGATCTCATCCACCTGATTTTCGTCTTCCATCCCTTGGCTGTCAACAACGAACTCTGCCGTCTTGCCTATGGGAGGCACCACAAGCTGGTCCACTGCACAGCCTGATCTATCAACATTTCCTTTGCCGATTAGTTTGTCCTACCAAACAACGAATGTCAATCCACAAAGAGGTGCAAGGCAATCGTTTGAGACACATGCAACTATCTAGATTGGGCAATATCGCATCATTGCTGAGTGCCAAATGTTTTCATCATTTGAGAACTGGCATATAGCTCACACAGGATTACATACATATGTTGCTCTTTTGCATATATTAAGTTTTCAACCTTTTTGGTTACATATGCAAAAGAATATCATACTACTAAACATATCAGTAACTCTGCAACATGTATGTATGTGCAGAGTGTATACTGTGTGTCAACCTGGTTCAGGAAGTGTTTATCCACCATTTCTCACTTTCGGTGCTTCCTTTTGGCTTCTCAAAATATGCATCCCATGCACACGATATAACACAATACAATGCATAATATTTGCAACGCATTCAATGCACTGCCAGTATGATAAATGATACACGAAAACTTAAAGCAATACATTGTGTGATACATATGCATAACATACATACATACATACATACGACATACATACGACTTATATTATCCTATTGTACACTCATCCACAACACAAAGCCTGCCGATAGCAATGGCATCAACTCACATCTTTGATGCATGCATCCTTGGGAAGAATGGAATCGCCTTGGCTCCTGAACGATATCACAAAGTAAATTAAGTTTACACAAATCAAACATAACCAAACGCAATAGTGAAATTTGCAATTAATCAGCAATGACACATAAAAGGTGCAAAAAAGGGTGCATTGAACACAATATGCAAGTTTCGAAATGATCAGAGAAAGAGCTGAAGAGATGAGGAACAAGGGCTGGTATCCTCCTAAATCATGGATGAAGTCGCTTAGGGCCTCGTTGATGCTAAGTTTCGGAATTGTTGACTCATTCAGAAGTAAACAAGCACACTTACAAAGACTACAAGCAACCTTTGCTCAACATCCTTCCTGGCAAATTTGGTATTGACACAGTACTGTAGCAACGCAGAAACGAACATTTTGCCATTGCTTTCTGACATTGATATGCAATTGTTTAGAGCTCAGTGCTGACCACCTGCTACTGTCCTTTAATCACCGTACTGTATTTCTGACATTTTTCGCCGTATTGTCCGTTAAAAAGTGAGAACTTTCCGTACAATCTGTTAATTGGAAGGAGGGGCGGGGGGGTGTACTGCAGCGCACGTTGTGGCCACGGGGGTGCCATTGTGACCATGCGAGAGGAAGGCGCCAGCGGACACCCCCGTTGGGACGTCCCATTGGGACGGCGGGCAGCCCCAAGCGGGCACCCCCAGGCTTGGCGTGGCGCCCAATCCCGCTGCCCGCGGGGGGCAAGATTGGCCCTCGTGGGTGGCAGGATTGGGCACGCCCGTGAGGCGCTGTTTGCTTCGCAAAAATGGCGGGAGTAGGCGCCCGCAAGGTGTCCTTGGTTTGGACAAAAACGGTGCCTTGCGGGTGCAAGATCCCACCACCCGGGGGGGCTAGTCGAGGCACCTGCAGGTGGTGGGAGTGGGCGCCTGTGGGGTGCCCATGGCCTGGCCAAAAATGGCGCCTTGCAGGCGCCCACTCCCGGAGCCCGTGGGGGCCAATCGAAGCCCCCACACATGGCGGGAATGGGCGCCCATGATGCGCCCTTGGCTTGGACCAAAATGGCACCTCGCGGGCACAAGATCCCACCATCCGTAGGGCCCAATTAAGGCCCCTGCAGGTGGCGGGATTGGGCGCCCGCGAGGCGCAAATTTTTTAGCGCTAAGCGGCGCCTCACGGGCGTCCACTCCCGCCACCCGCTGGCGGCCAATCGAGACCCACGAGGGTGGCGGAGCGGACGCCCACAAGACACCACTCGTTTGGCAATTGTGCCCACCCAGGTCACGTGGAATTGACCCCCGGGCTGGCAGCAAGGGGAACCCGTGCAATCCGTCAATGCTGCGCCCTCGCCCAGCCTGTTGTGCCATGCGCCGGTCCTGGCCCCGGTCTCATGCGGCAAGGGAGGGAGCGCCACGGTCGGCGACGGGGTGCACACAGAGCGAGGTTCCCGGCAACACGACGTGACTTTACCAGTTAGTGATGCTTCCCTGCGGCTTCCTTCCCCAAAGCCATGATTTCCGGTCGTACCGCTGCCCAGCCCAGCCCCAGACTTCCTGTCCTGGCCGCTCCCAAGTTCCCGATTTCTGCTACTTTAAGGCTATTTAACGGACGGTAATGCTGACCGCTAATTAGCAGAAGGTAGCGCCAACCTCTACAACTGTTGTCAACCTAGAATTGGCAATGAAGATGGCGGGTTATCACACCTGCAAAGATGGCGTAACCCTGCATTCACTGACTGCCCATTTTCCACTTCCCTACCAACAAGGATATTCAAATAGTTTGCACATTGCGTATTGCCCTCTGCTGTTGCTTCATTGACATGCAATGACATTGCAATTCTTGCAAACACACTCGGATGATGACATTCCAAAATCAATGTAAGTTACTGTAACTTACATTTTAATGTAACATTAAGCACATTAAACAACCATGAAACTCACTTTTCCGGCTTGCTCCCCTGCATCTCACGCCCTCTCTCCAGCAATCCTAGGCATTGCTGAAGACTGCAAAGCTCCTCAGCCAGCTGCTTGTTGGCTGCATTCAGCTCCTCGTTGGCCTTGATCAGCCGTTCATTGTCAGTCGTGGCACTGCCAAGGGCCTTGGTCAGATTTTCCACCAGCCTGTGAGCCTCCTGAATCTCTGCCTCCTCTGTGGTCTGGAAGCACGCACATCAGCGTTTCAGGGAAGCACTCGTTCCTGTTCTTTATTTGACTTCTTGCTGCAACCTTTCTGGATCCGACAGTTCCAACAGAATCCACGCGTTCTCTCCAGAGCACCACGCACATGCGATCAAGCAGCCACAGAGCTCCTTGACGACACCTCTGCGCACTTTGCCCTGCGCACTTTTCAGCAGAAGGTGGTATCCATCATGTGGGCGTCGGTCGCTAATCTCAAGATGCCCCGCACACACCAATCGATTCAGGTGGCAAAGGGAGCGAATGTGCCTTGATATCCTCAACACTAGTTAAAGACAGGCCAAAATACAGGGCATTGAAGATCGTGTACCGTGAAATTGTGCAAATGGACTGATAATCGTGTAAAAATCGTGTTAAATCGTGTATTATTCGTGTATTTATCATAAGAAAATGGGACCGAACCGTGTAGTAACGATTGAGTGAGTGCACATGATTTTGACCCGGTTTTACACGATATTTGCACGGTTCCAAACCGCGTATTTTACCGACTTTCCAGTCGTGCACGTGGCAGCGCACAGCTAGTTTAAAGCAAGCCAATCTCATGAGGGCAGTTCGAGGATTGTGGGCCCCATCCATTAGAACGATAAAAGCTGCTAAGTAGGTGCTAATGGCACTTACGTCAGCCAAGCGAAATGAGCTGTACGATCGCGAGCCCCAATATTCCAAATAATAGTGCAGACGGTTGTGGCGGCCAGCTAAGTGCATGACTGACTACTTTGCACTTTGGTGTTGCACCAACTGTCCCCAGCAAGCCATTGCTAAAATGATGTAATTTAAGCAAAAAGAAACAAACAAACCAAACAAGGAAGCAACAATGAATATCACTTATTCTTCTAAATTAGAGTTTAACAACAATTAATCGCTGCAAGTAGCGTGACATTAATTGGTCAAAATATGCGAAATAATATTCGCTATCCACCTGTCTGTGCTGACAGTACCAACGTGGTCCACGAGGGGCCATGTGAAAGGGGCATTGCCAAACAACATGTGCAATTTTTCGATTGAAGACAGCGGTTACAGTGTTCAATACATCACAACAGCACTTCTCCACCACAAGCAGCTGTGAATGCACCCAGTACTTAACTGCAGTATCTTGTCGACACGGCTGCAGTTGGCGTTCTCAGTACTTTGCCGAAGTACTTAACATCCGTGCATTCACCTTTTTAGGGTAGTGTGGTGATTGTGTGCATGCAAATGTGTATTTAAAACATAACTAGCTTAGCAATACATGCAGCCCCACTCGACGGTGCTTACATGTGCATGCAATACATACGCACGCCAGAGCCACATCAGCACATCAAACACGCATTTACCTACAACACGGCACAGCCCTTTGCACGCACAATCAGGAATAGCAGCCCGCAGTACTTTGCACACCCACAGAGCAACAACACAGCGGCGTTATGTTTTGGAACAGACAACCAACATAGCGCAGTGTTTGAAGGGTCCGGGTAACGGCAAAATGCCACAGTGGACAAGTCGCTGGTTGCGCCTTGCTCCCAAGCGCCCACCTTGGCGGCTTCAAAATCTTGTTGCATCTGCTTGATCTTTGCCTCGCTTAATGCCTGCGGGGCGAAATTCATTACCGTCAAAAGGCATTAAAAATGGAGAAAACACAGCAAAAATGGAGAAAACACAGCAAGTAGAAATAAATATACGCAATTCAAAATAAGTCAGCATACAATAAAAAATGGTAAAGGAAAACGAGTACAATGTAAATGTTAAATACTTGCCACAACCTGTCACAGTGGCTGCACGGCGAAATGCGACTCGACGTAACATGGCGATCAACAGGGCACAGAAAGGGCAAAATACAATGTTATGCACAAAATGAATCAAATGCAATCTGGCGATAATTCGGTTTGCTGCAGTATATGCAACATTACTTGGAATACAATGGAAAATCTGAAACATACTGGGATATACACATATATTCTGAATACAACATATCTACTGCGTACATGACCAACTAAAATACAAAACATGAAAAGCAATAAATAAATAAATAAATAAACAAATGAATGAATAAATAAATAAATAAACAATGCGAACATCATGCAAACAAAATGAAATATGCCAATCAAATACGTTTACAAAACACACATAATACAGATCAGCACAACAATAAGCAAATAGACGTAAGATAAGAAAATGGACTATCCCCTTCACACGTTGTGTCAGTTGCTTGTCATCACTTTGTAGGCGACAGGGCACCTGTACATAGATTACTCGATATACACATCAGCTGCAACTTACTCACATTTATGTTTCTGTCACATTTACATTAATTTATGGAGATATACGTGCATCAAGAACATCGCCATCTAGTGCAGTTCGAACAACACCTCAAGGCTGGGTATGCCATACTGCCAGGAGATCACGATGTTCATGGCTGGGCAGGACTCGGTCTACAAGTCAACATCCTTCCAGATAAATCCAGTAAACTAAGTATTTCAAAGTGCTAAGACTCGCCTTAGGTACTACAAGTACTCAGGTTTTGTGGTACCAAGGCTGCAGGAGATGTCTGGGCCTGCCAGAAATTGACAACATTCAAGATGGGCAGAAATCAGTTCTTCTACGGCGAAGACTAGCAGTGGTGATATCTGGGACAGGAGGTGCAATGGAGATGGCAGGGTCTAGATTGAAGAAGTTCTTCATCCTAGTTTAACTAGGATGCCAGCCTTAGACACAGCATGGAACAATCTGAGCTGGGCCAGGCAGTGGAAATTCTGGGTCTTGGTGGGAAATGGAGGAATCTAGGCATTGGCATGATAAAGAAATGTCTTGGTCTGGACATAGAATGGAGAAAACCAGGTCTCAAAGGGCTCCTAGTGTGCCAGCTCTTGCTGGCTGCACGAGGATGGATGCTTCTTCCAAGCTCTTCTAGTCAATCGCCACAGTGCATTACAACAGTACTTTCATCAGGGGTTTGTATAGTGGATGCTGTGGAGGTGTGTGCCACATGGTCGGAGGAGCGCTTGCGGCGGTGTTTAGTAGTAAGCGCTCGAGTCAGGCGCCAGTTGTGGCTCGAGTCGAGATCCTTAACCAGGGTATGCCTGCCTGTGGACACTACCAGTCAGCCCAGCCCAGAGCCTCGCCTTCACCCTCCCTGGGTCAGATAACAATGGCGTCTGAAGCCCAATGGGCAGCCCCTGAGCCGCATGTGGACAGATGCCTGCCCAAAGGTTGGCCACCATACCGATCGAAGTAGGAGCTGAACAATGGGCCCAACCATGGGGCACCGCTAGGAGGTCTGCCCCAATACAGCGAGTAGGGCTACTCAGCGCAAGGGAGGAGCTACCAAAGACATGGGGCGTTGAGTCACCCTTGACCGGCGTAGAAATCAAGGGAGACTGAGGGGCCGTACGCCCTCAGATAGGCTGACAAAAGCCGCCAAGGGGGAGCACGGCAACAGGATAGCAAAGACAGCAAAATAAGGATAGAAAGGCGAATGGAGGTCGAGCGATCGATGGCGCTAGCCATGTGGGTCCAGGTGGGACATCACCTGAAGGATTGGTGGACAGCCGCTTTCCCAAGGGGACAATCAGGAAACTGAATGAAACAAAATCTTAAAAAAATAGGATAAGGGCTCTTGTGGACATTCCTGGGACAGTCAGTTTCTTCCTTTTGGCTGACCGTTGGTCAGCCAGCGCAATACATGAGATCTCTCACTGACATTCCCGGAACATTCAACTGTTGTGCATCAGTTGCCACTGTACATTAGGTCTCTTGTTGACATTCACAAACCAGTCCAGGAAGTTTTGCTGGCTGGCCTTGGGTCAGTAGCCACCATACATAGTGTCTGACTGACATTGCTGGGACAGTTCATCAACTGTTGCGGGTCAGTTGCTACAGTACATAAGGTCCTTGCTGACATTCCTGTGACAGTGCATCAAGTCTCTTGCTGACATTCCTAGACAATCTTTGTGCTGCTCTTTCTGTCCTCGGGTTAGCCATTGCAGCCATTATCATTGAGACATGTGACACCTTGCATGTCGTTTTGCTGACTAGGGTCGAAGACCACAGCACATGTACTGCATAACGTACTTTACGCCCAGGCCCAGCTGCACAATCCTGTCAACAGATTCTGGTCTGTCTCTCAAGTACGTTGGTCTTTGACAATCACTGAGCCTGCTTCAGCTACCATAGTACGTTAGGCTGGGGACATATCACATTTCTCTACTGACCATTCGTCAGTCGCTGCAGTAAAACACCCCTATCTTTGACATTTCTGGGTGAGCCTGTGTGTTAGCCAACCCTGGGTCACTTACCACAGTACATTAGGGCTACATTTGGAGGATTTGTGTTTGTTTCTGCTGAACCACCACAGTATATTACACACAGTACATTGCACAGCAAACACTATGCTGTTGTTGTTGTCCCAGGGGCATGCTGCTGGTCCTTCGATGGACCCAACGTCAACTCCCACAGTACATAAGGACAATAACAACACTTGCTTGTTTACACAGTGGCTGGTCATTTGTCACAGTACACTACGTCACAGACAGCGAGAGCATTTCTCCTGGCTAATCCAACCGTCATTCCCACCAAGGTATAAGGTGCCACACGGTGCAGCCAAGATACAGAAAATGAAATTGAGTTCTTTGTGAATAAAAAATGGCAATTAGTAATTCAACTTACTACATTCAACTCATTAATCATGTACAACAAACTACTGTCCAGTACTAACCAGCACCATAGGAACTGTGGTGCATTTTGCCAGTACAAACTGTGCTAAGTCATTTTGAATCTAAGTTTGGACACCAAATGGAGATATCTAGAAATGGAGGGAATGGAAATACCCAGCCTTGGAGGCATGACATGGGCGAATCCGCGCGACTGGACAGAAATGAAGACGCCCCCAAGATGCAAGGGAATGGTGATATCTAGGGACTCAAAGAAATGAAGATATTTGTGGCTGGACGGAAATGAAACTGCAAGGGATGTACAGCAATGGAGATATCCAGGGATGAAGGGGAATGGCTTTATCCAAGGAATCAGTAGAAAAAAATTTGCTGGGCTGGATGGAAATGAAAGCAGCCAGCTGTGGACAGAAGTGGAGATGTCCAGGGATGCACAGAAATGGAGATATCCAGGGATGGAGAAGAATGGCTTTATCCAGGACTGCCATGAAATGGAGATATCCAGGGCTGGACAGAAATGGAGATATCCAAGGCTGGACAGAATTGAAGACATCCAGGGCAGGACAGAGAAGAAGGTATCCGGGACTGGAATGAAACAAAGATATCCGGGGCTGGCAGAAATGAAGACATCCAGGGGTACGGTTGGAGATGTTGGACTGTCATGAAATGGGTATATCCAGGTCTGTACAAAATGGAGGTATCCAGGGTTGGGCACAAATGAAGACATCCAGGTCTGAAATGAACTGGAGATATCCAGGAATACATGAGAATGGTTATCAAGGGTTATTTTGGGTTCCGTGACACCTTCCCCCATCATGCGGATTCCCCTCACCCCCCAAACTACAGCGTCCCGCCCAGCAATATCCCCAATGTGGCGTCGTGCGATGAGATACCAGATACCAGATACTAGATACTAGATATGAGATATGAGATACGAGATAGTAGATACTTGTGGGCTGAGGTATTTTGGGCAGCTTGATGCCTCTCCTCATCATGTGGATTCCCCTAAACCCCCAAAATGCGGCATCACGCCGGGCGCAACCGTGCACGTGGCATCATGCGACCCAAGTAACACGTGGGGTACAATTGGAGATGTTGGACTGTCATGAAATGGGTATATCCAGGACTGGTACAAAAAATGGAGATATCCAGGGCTGGACAGAAATTGAGAAACGAAGACATTCAGGCCTGAAATGAACTGGAGATATCCAGGGACAGATGGGGATGGATGTGGGCTGTCCAGGGATATCCAGGAGTGTGATGCATCCAGGGCTGGAGATGACATGGACATATCCAGAACTGGAATTAAATGGCTATCCGGGGCTATGCAGGGCCATGATGCCTGCAGGGCTGGAGATGACGTGGACAATGCATAGAACTGGAATGAAATGGTGATGTCCATTTCTGAAAGAAATGGAGAAACCCATAGCCAAAAACAAACTGCAGGTATCCAGACCTTCCACCGGTCGCCAGGGATGGCTTGTCCTGCTGCAATACCCCATCAAATTTCACAAGCACATTGGATATGAAACCTGGCAGTTCAAAAATGGACTTCGCTCTGATTCAGCCATCCATGTGCCACTGGCAGTCAGGCATCCTGCATGCCAACTGTCATGACCCAAATCTCCTTGCAGGTGCAGTGGCTGTGCTTGACAATTTTCAATGATAGGAATCCGCTTCATCAAATTTCTCCAGTTGAATGAATAAAACATATTCCAACAATATTCGTCAAGTAATCTACTCGAAGACAAGAAGATCAGTGAATCGATTTCTGCACACCTTGAGTTCCGCCATCTTGCGATCCTGCCTCTTCACTGTTGCCCTCAGCCACTCGACCTCCTCATGGCTGACCTGCTCATGTGCGCACTCTTGGACGGCCTCCCCCTTGGCGAAGGCCAACCAACCTTGGACGCCACTGTCCTGGGGCAACTCTTGGTCGACCTTCATACGAGAGAGCTCTTGTAAGGCTTGCTCTTGTGGAGCCTCGTGGACGTCCAATTCCAGGGCCAATGCATGGACTGGTTGCTCCTGGGCAGCCCTGGCTTGGGTTGCAGCCTGGGCAGAAAATGAAATTCAGTGGCAGCAAATCGAATTAATTCTTTTAGTGCAGACAGTCTGAGAGATGGCTCCTGCCGTGAGTGCGCTCAATGGTGCTGTCAAGCACCGGCTTGGTGGAAATGCACATACCATGTGACTGCAAGATGGCTGGCAGCAAGAAGTCGCCCTTTGGTCACAGTGGGCACCAGTGCTCAGTACCAACTGCTTTGCACACTCTTAGTTCTCCTCAGTTTGCCCCAAGGACGTGTGCAGGTGAGCAAACGATGTGCACACTTCCTGGCCAACCTCGTCCTCAGTGGCATCCTGCTGGGCAACCTTTTATTGTCGCTCCAAAGTGCACTATTTTTCGGAAACCTGTGCAAACCTTCCCTACTCCAAGTTGTAATACCTGGGTGATCTTGTCTCGAGGTGACCCCTTCCTGATGGTTCCCCTAAAGTCACCACCGTTTTGGCTGAGCTTCTATGGTGCTAGGTCGGCCCATGGGCACTGCACTCGTGCAAAGAACCAACTGCTCATCTCTTTGTGGCATTTGTGTTGTATGCCGCTCTTCTTGCACTGGAGACTCCACATCATCTTGGACAGTATGGCGCAGAGTTTCACACACATGCACTTTCTGAATGATCAGATGGGTGAGCACCCCAGTAGCAACGACATTTCATGTGATTAAGTGAACACTGGGCAGTGCATGATGGCACCTTGTCGTTCCATTCTAGGAAAGAAATGTTCTGTATCGATTGTCTTTCTGCCAAGGATGCACACATTCATGCACACATGCTTGGGAGGGGACAACCTCTGGGCGATCTGTTGCTCGTTCTCGCTCCAACATATCTTACCAACAGCCTGCGGCCCCAGAGAGGGGAACTGGCAGAGGCGGCAAAGCTGTGCAATGGTGGGCCATCTCCCCAAACTAGATTTCAGATCTCAAATTCTTAAAATCTTAAATTCGAGTTAGCATCCGCCTTGAGGAGGTTTCTGGGCTTCAAACCGGCCTCCCAAGCAGGCCCATCTCCTCTCGCCTCGACCAAAGTTGGCCAAGCCAATCAGTTGCCCATGTGCAGCGCTGTTCACGCCCACAAATAACCAATCCTGAGTTGAACGTGCATTTACTTCTGGACATGCCTTTGCTCCTCGAACTGGTCTCGGCAGGGGGGTCAAACTTGAAAAAATTTGCAAATCAAAAGCAAGATTCTAAACCAGACACAGCATACATGTTTCAAAATTTGAATGGCGCGCTTTCACCGCTTTCACCAGTTTGACCAAACTTTGCCCGTGTCGCCTCACCTGCGCCGCCTCGACCGCCGCGCGCTTGGACCCGCTCTCTGGCTCCCCGCCGGACCATCCGGCGCCAAGGCTGGCTGGGCGCTTCCTGCCCCCAACGTTGATCATCTCGTTGACAGCCTGGTGGCGCTCCATCGCGCCCGTTCGCCCTCTGATGCGCCCCTCCGTCGCTTGGCGGCGAGGAATGAGTCGCCCCGCGCCGCCCACGGGTGGTCTACGCTGCTTGTTTTGCGCGGAGTTTCAAGCCTGAGCGGCCCCTGCGCGTGATTGTCCCAGGCACAGTCACCAGCATGTGTTTTTCGAGAAGGCGAACGTCGTTTCAGTGACGGCAAGTCGGTGGGTCAACGGCAAGGGTCAACCGCAAGGGTTCAACTGCAAGGGTGAACGCGGTCAACGGGATGACAAGCATGCCGCCTCGCCAACGGGCTGCCCTGCTTGTGACTGCGCGAGACAGGGCCGCCTGGACTCATAAACGCCCGTGCTTCTGGGCCTTGGGCAAGGCGCAGTGCGCCAAAGCCTGAAAGGGGCATGAGGATGCAATTTTCGACAAAGGCATTTGTTTGGCCTGAGCCTGACCTTGACGAGATGGGCGGCTGGGTGGCCTTGGCGGGGAAGGGGGGGGAGAAGCAAAAACTGCCGCCGACGAGGATCGATGCCGCGCCTTTTCAGCACGACGGAGTCGCCGTGGGTCAGCTTTGGATGGTTGATCAGGTCAGAAAGCATTCACCGCTCTGGAGGCGGTCAACTCGCCTGAAAATGCCGTTGGCGCCGCGCCTTGTGCCGCTCGGGGCTCGACACAAGACAAGAAACAAAGTGCAACGTGGTTTGGGGATGTCAGGGCCAGCAAAGCAACCCGCAGGCGCCCGTGGGTCAGTTGGCGCCGCTGAACCGTTGACCAAAGTCAACGCGCGCCGCCCGCGGGTGCCTGGCGCGTTTGGCGCCTTTTGGGGAGGCCAGGACGCGCGTCGTTGGGGAGCGAGCGCGCCCGGCCGTCCGGTGCGTTGCAGTACAGCGGCAATGTACTGTGCAAGAGCGGCAATGTACTGGAGGGTGAAAACAAGGCAGCCGACACCCCCCGATGGCTGACTCGGTGGTGACGCGATGATTGACATAACCCCTTGGTGATGTGACATCATCACCTTGTGATGTGACAGGACGCGAGCCCAGCCGGCAGCCATCAAATCGCCCAGGCCTGTCGGTGAAGATTCTAGTCCTTCAGTAGTCGATGCGCCCCAAACCCTAAAAACCTAAAACCAAATTGAACTAAACTACTGACAAGACTGGCCAGTCTTGTCACTGACTCCCCTGTCTTTTCAGTTCTTCCCCATGGGGAAATAATGTATTCGCGTCACGGTGACGGTGTTGAAGGGGATCACAGTAGCCATCGGAAAGCGGAGAAAAAAATGAATTGTTTCGATATAAAAAGCAACATTATTATAAAACATAAAACATAATTAGGTGATGCCTTTATAAAGGCACTGTTCGGCGGCTGGGGGTTCACGGATGCCTGAACGAATCCTCGGAGAGCTCAAGGAAGTGCGGTGTCCACAAACTGTCCCCCCGTTGCGGACACCCTTGCACGGAGAACTGATGACAACAACTACTGTAAACTACCTATCCTTGCACCACATGTCCCTAAAAGTATTCTGGACAGTGCTCTGTCGCAGAACAGTGATCTGTCGCAAAACAGAGCTCTGTCGCAGAACAGAACAGTGTTTTGTCGCAGAATAGTGTTCTGTGTTCCGTGGGGCTGAGCACCGCAGTGCGCATCTGCAGCCTTCTCAGGGCGGCCCCAACGGGACCCTGGGACTACATTGTCGCTCGCCCCATGCCAGGCTTCAGCAAAAATTTCCTTCCAGACAGGAGCGCCAGCCGCTGAAATCTTCAATTCATTCCAACAGCCACTCGTCTACATAGGCGCATTCCCATCCTCCGGACGTCTGCGATGGACGCGCTTCCACACAGATAGCAGCATGAGGTATGGGCCACTACATGCGGAAGGAAGGTAGAGTTTGATGCAATATTGTGGCCACTGACGCAGTGCAGGGCAATCCTGCAAGTACCCGTGTGTCAATATTGACAAACGTTGATGTGTGCGAGAAGGTTGCTGATAGAGTGGCCACGCTGTGTCGTTGCCGGGCGTTGCATACACCGGCAGAAAACACCGTTTAGTGATGCCGATTGCGATGCCATTGGACACCAATTGATGCTGCCATAGCTGCTTTGGACGCATCGCAACCGCTGTGATGGCGTCACATAGTATCGATATGTCATCGCAGTTGGCATCGCGAAAAGGTGTTCTCTATTAGAGATAACTGGCATTCTACATACGGTATTGCATTAGCGTCTACGTTTTCCCAGGTGTGCAGCACGGGCCGCCTTCTGCGGATTCCACCAACGCCACCGCCAGAGGAACGATTCATGGAGAAGAGCCTGGCCTCCGGTTTGTCAACTCGAATCTAGCGCTCAAGCGCTTCAGACTGTTCAGCCCACCCCCTCGTTTTCAGCGTTCCAACTGACTGTTGAGTGCATTCGCTCATTTTCAAACGCTCCAACTGGAAATTTTGTAGTACTGCAAATCTGCAGTCGGGACGCTTGCAGCTTCTATGACCCTTTCATTGTTCTCTCTGGCAAGCTTTCTGGACATTACTGTAAAAGATCCGGAACGTTGCGAATAAAGATGAACAACAACTTGTTGAACATTTTGTACAACGTGTTCAAAGGGTTGTGAAGCTGTGGGATTGAAGCATCTACAACTGTCGCGCAAGCCCCCTGACAGGCATTCCTCCCTTAAGTGCGCCGCTTTGTTTCCTTTTTGAAGCAAGGTCCCCAATTTGCAGCACAGCAATTTGAAAGTTCATGTTGTCCCAAACAAAGTCGAGGGTGTTAGAACATGTATCCTGTGAACCAATTTAGGTCAACTGATTCCAGACCTCCCGCGGTAGACGTGCCTTTGAGAAATTCCATGAGACAGTAGTTATTCGCACGTTTCACGACAGCGGGCTGCTCAGGCCATATCAAATGAAGCTATGCACACTTTCGAAACGCAGATCATTATCAGGTCATGAAGCATGCACAGACCACCCAATGAAACGGTGGTCAATACGCAATGTCGCGAGCACCTCAGCATCCTTTCAAACGAATGCAAAAGTTAACAACTGTCGACATAAATGAAAACAGTTTGAAAGTCGTGCGAAACCCGTGGTAAATCGTGTGCTTATCGCATGAATATGGGATCAAACCTTGGAGTAACGATTGAGTGAGTGTGCGCGATTTCTACACCATTCGAAGCCGTGTATTTTGGCGATGTTGAGCTCCACCGTCCATGATGGACAGCAGAATTTCCGGATGTACGCCAAAGTGGACTATGAGACTATGTAAGGGCAGTACTCCACAGCCGTAGCTGGTCACATATCCATAGTTACAACATCCAATCCCCGTCGATGACGCAACGGCCATCCCACATGTTAAATGGTCTCCATGGGAACCATGCATGACCCTCTCCCACACTCATGGGCAGCTGCTCCACGTCGACAGCCTCAGCTCCACTTTGTTTGAGGGTGCACTGAACGATCAAGAACCACCTTGCGCGGGTTGGCTCCTCACGAAACGCCGCTTGTCACACTGACGACCGTCACCAAAACGGCAACGTCAGCAGAAGGATGTCTCAAACGGGCAGCAGATGACCAACCTCGGTCCAGGCAAGCAAATGTACTAGTACAAAAGCTTGAAACTGCCGTCCAGAGTTCCGCAATCAGTGGAAACAGCTCCTCAAATGTCGGCAAAGTCAAAAACGTCGGCTAGGTCCACGGGCCAGGTCAGCCCCGTCTGCAATTCAGCAGCGCATGACGCAGCAGGGCTTCCTTCCGCCTTACCATAGCTGTGCAGCGACGATGATTGGCCAATTTTGGCCGGCAGCAAGACCGCACTTGAGGTGTCGGGCGTAAACGGCAACAAACGGCTCAACAACGGCCCAGACTGGGCGCGACCTTCGAAAAGGTCGAGTGCTATTGCGCTCGGGCCATGGCGCACGTGGCGCGCACGGCCAGGGAATTCAGGCAGCCAGGCCCCATGCCTAGACCACCGCGCGGGGCGCAGAGAAACCACGCGCGTTCGTTGTTACAGCTGCCAAGCTGAATTCAACAATGCATCATCTCCCATGGTGCTCTTGGCGCCCTCCGTACTTGTATCCGCCCAAGGCTTCCGACACTTCACACTATACCCTTTTTGTGTGCAAGAATCTTTGATTCCCCGGAATCTTCTTATCGCACCATCGTATCGCCACAATTCGGTCCGGTACACCCGCCTTCGAAGTGGGGAATTCCTGCGATCTGTAGCCACAGAATGCCCCGCGGGTCATATTCCCATCACGCAGCCACGCGGCGCCTCCACGCGCCCCCCTGGCTCCGTCGCATCGTGTTCCGGGGCAGACCGCGACGGGGCCAGCCCCCCTCCATCATAAACGGGTGTCACGCTCATAAAGTACACTGGTCGGCCAAATCATGACCAAAACAACCTCTATTGACACACCTTCTTACTAAACGCCTCTTGAAAACTTCTAAATGAAATGGAAATGACACAGTCATGTTGCAGATTTGACTTGCAGCTGTCTGATGCCTTCACTAATATGACCATCACTCAACAGGTTGTTGCCGAGTAAGTTGGGGCGACCCCAAAATCACAAAGCGGAGGTGCATTCAGTAAATTGATCTGAATTTGGATTCAGTAAGTTGACCTGAATTTGGATTTGAAGGTGCTGAGGCTGCCGACACTTGCTCTCCCCACTTCTGGGCCTCACGTGTCGCCCACTTAGTAGCACCATTAAGATACTATTGTTTTTCTGATAAGCGCCATTATTGGCGACCCGAGCAGCGTATTTTTTGCTTGTGTTCCGTGATGCTGTGGACAGTCTCTAGTGGGTGTGTGACGGTACTTCGCCTTTAGTCAGGCCCCTTCGTTGGTAGGAGGGGACATTTTGGCGATGCCAATTGCTATGCCGTTTGCCGCTAATTGATGTTGTCGCTGTTACTATTGCCTCATTGCAATGTAATGCCGACAACTAGCCTGAAATTAGCATCACAGTCGCCACTGACAGAATGTTATTAATATTGATGTTGTGTAATTAATTGAGCTTAGCTTATTTATTTTATAAATTTATAATTACACAGATATTATTTTGTGCTCTGCTGGTGGTGTGTGTCCTGCATGTGCCTCGTGCAATGTTGGTGCCTGTCGGCGTGGGTTGCCCCGCCGAAGCTGGAAGTTGGGCTTGGTGGGTAGTGTCTGGGCAGCGTCAAGCACGGTGCTGACACGAAGCTACGACTTTCCCAATGTGCCCCATTCTTAGGTTCTGAGTGGCAAAATCCTCTTCTCGACTGCCTACCATATTGTAACAGGAATAACACCAATGGAGCACTGCCATCCATTATTTCCTAGACAGAGGCAATGCCCATTGTCGTCAATTAGACTTGCCCACTGCCACCACGCTCAGACATAGCCACAGCGCCACTGTGTCTCAAAGTGCCACTGAGTACCAATTGGACAAGTGCAGTCAAAATTGCTTGAGCTTTGTTCTTCGCCAGCACAGAAACCGCGAAACTGCACTTATTAATTGATAAGTACTTCGAAACTAATAAGCACTTCGAAATATGGATTCATATTCTGGGTTTGCATTCTACTTTACAGATAAGTTAAAATGCAAACTCAAAATACGAATCCATATTTCGAAGTGCGGGAAAGAGGGATTAGGCAAAGTGGCAGTCGTCGGCTGCGCACAAGAGGCTGTCCGGGATTCGCAAAGTTACGGCGAGGCTACCGTGGGACCTGACTGTCCAAGGATATCCGAGGACATTTTTAGGGTTGAAGTGTGCCATGTTGAAAGGAACGCCCCATCATGAGCAGAATGGCGGGCGATTCCCCTCTGTAGTTAGCCAGAGAAGCGGCGACTGCACATCGCCATCTTTCGGCCTTCGTTCGCAGCCCGCACGCGCCGCCGGAAGCAGCACTACCTCCGCCTTGCAGCAGTCCCGTCCACGGTTCGCGATTCCTTCGAAGCACCACGTCGTGCGCCCCCCCTTTCGCCTCCCGTCGCTCCCTGTGAGCCTACATCGCACCAACACCCTCGCCAGCGCACGGGTCCCTCCGCCCGCGACCACACAGCCCTCACGGGCCGTGCCGACCCTTCCGCCCACGCCTTGGTAAGGCGCCGGCGTGTGGAGATGCCCCAAGTTCGGGGCCCGCGTCCGGACGCTTGCGAGTAGCTATCCCCTACCGCGCAGCCTCACGGAAGCCACACCTTAGGCCTTGGGGGCCTGCGGTCCGCCAGGCGGCTCGGAACACGGCCTTGCGGCATTTGGAGCACGGAACCCCGCACCAAGAAGGATCTGTTACAACGTCGCCATGCCCAACTTTTGTACACCAACCACGCATCATACGTTCCCATCAATCCTTTCACACATTCCAGTCGTCAATCCACTCACCGTTCAACCCCGCAGCTGTCCTCCAGCCGAGTCATCCTACGCCGCTGCCAATGACAACCAGCTGACTCGACGTTTCATCGGCCATCAACTCAATTCTTGGACGAAGACCACGCAGCAGAAATGAAGTATGAACGCAGCATAGATGAAATCGGCCGCCATACATTATGCTATACTTCAACAGCCCCAAATTGCCCCAGCACAGGGTCAACCTGCCTTGGCAACACTGGGCTTTCGCTATCCTTGAAAATGTGCCTCAAATTGCAGCGATGTGAAGGGCACTGGCCCCTTGTCTCAAATTCAATGTGGTTTGTGCATTTTCCTCAAGGAACGCAGAACGCACTCTCCTTGCCCATCTGCGTCTTCCTACAGGGGGGGAATTAATCCTCGTTTAGTTGCATATGTCACATGGCCAAAACAAAAGCCCTTGCACCAAACTGGCAACGCCGGAGAATGGTCCCAGGCACATATTCGTTTGAACCCAGATGTCTGTCCATGAGGACGGGCGGTCAGCCCAAGAGGCCGCCGGCAAGCACACGGGGATGCGCGGGTGGGTGTTGGAAATGAGCTGTGCACATTCCAAGACAACGAAAGTACTGTAGTCGACTGGCTCAAAATGATTTCATTTTGAGACAGTCGACTACAGTACTTTCGTGTTTCAACACAGCACACAGGGCAGAGACTCAAGGGGAAGGCACTATCTTTAAATTTCTAAATTGTAGTTAAATTATGGTATGCTCAAAGTCAGCTTGAAGCTCCCCCCCCTCCCCCCCTCCCTCCCGGGAACATTCACCACCTTCATACTGGGCACCTGAGCGCATGTTCTCTCGCCTTTTGAGTTGCTTGCGTTGTGTGCTCAGCCTTTCACATCGGAGGCTCCGTAGCATATTCCTGCAGTATGGAAAAGAACCTTGCATGCACTTGCTTTGGAGGGGGTTAATATGTTAGGGGAGGCGCTGTGTCGGACTTTGGTACACTAATCGTCAATTTGATGCACGTTTGTGTGTATCAGGGGGGGGGGGATAAAGAAACAGTTCACAGTGTCCAAAAAGGCCTCGAGTCCCGGGAGGTCCACATGCACTTGGACAGGTGAGAAAATGAATGCCAAGACACCGAGCACAATAAAGTACCGAGCCTGAAATGGCCTTTCACAAAAGAAAATGCAGCAGTGACACGTGCTGCTGCAGAGGAGGCCACTGAATCAAGCTAGACTCCGCAAGATAGAGGTAAAGAGGAGGCCGTTGCACGAGGTGGTAAAAAGGCATTTTGCATTTCTCGGGGGAGGAGGTGTTTGTGCTTGAGCGCTTCTTTATAGTTCTTGGCTATACTACTTCTTCCTTAAAGAGAAGTTCGCAGAGGGGCGCATTGCAGAAGGGGAGCAAGTGGCCAGGACCAACCAAAGCCGCGCTGACAGTTGCCAGAGCGATGCCGGTCAGGATGGCGACCATGGGGGATTCAGTCGAGTTTGCTCAACATACATTTTTTTTCGTCCATTAATTATTTACCATTCGCATAATATTTGTGGCCTATTTCTGACTCACTGCTGCACTCTGCTGCAATCAACCCGGCGAAGGTTGTCCCCTCACCCGATGACAAAGGTAACTACAGCACCATTACACGACTGAGTGTGTGGACCACTGCCCCCGACCCAGCGCAAACCCCCAAGCCCCTAGCATTTCCCCCCAACCCAGTGCCACCCCTAACATCAAGGTTCAGCATACAGGTACATCCCAGATCAGTCTCCCGATGACCGCCACAAATGTGCGAGTTGCATATTAGCAACTTCATTCCAAACCCGCAAATGGATGGACCTGACTGATCATTTATGACCCATCCTCCATTAATTGTTCCCTCGGGAAACCTCTTTACAGCACAATCATCACTTGGCCACTCTCAACATGGCTTGAGGACTGTGTGCAAGGAAAAAATCACGAACCCTGCTGGGCACTGACCTCAAATGCTGCAGCACACAGGCAGCTTCCACAGTACCAACAGCGAGTACTGCAGCACTTGAGCCAAACATCGTGGCCTCCTCTTCGCCGGCCCAGCACCTAATCCTTGCGGGTGCTCATCTCAGGGGCACGTGACTCTCTCACCAGCCCGCCACCAAATCCATTCCAAAACCAACATCACCGGCCCGCTTTCTCACGCGACAAGAGCACAGCACGAGTCGCCTTTGGCAGCCCTAAGGACTGTTGCATTATACCACGCGCTGGCACATCCCAGGCAGCCGCCGAAGCCACGGCTCTGCCCACGGGGATGCGCCCTCCCACCTTGGGGGTCCACCCCAAGCACCAACCTACCGTCAACCTAGGGTCACCTTTGGGTCGCCCACTGGTCAAGGCAGTCACATTTGCGCCATCCTGCAGACACCCAATCCCCCGCCCTCTTTCACAAACCCCCGCGCTGCCCTCGCACCTTCCCCCTCCACATTCCTGATCCAAGGATTCCCAAAGGGCACCCTGCAGGTTCCCATCAGGCTCCCTTCAGGCTCCCCGCAGATTCCCTTCAGCCACCCTTCAGGGGTTCCTTCAGGGGTTCCTTCAGGGCTCCTTCAGGGCTTCCTTCAGGGCTCCTTTCAGGGATCTTTTCAGGGCTCCTTCCAGGGATCATTTCAGGGCTTCTTTCAGGGCTCCAGCATGCCTACCCCCGATGTTAAGGGCCCACCAAGGTTGGGTTGGGTCGCCCCTGCCGCCCTATCCCTGCCTCAGGTCCACGATGGTCACCGTAGTGTTGTCCTTGCTGCCCCGGTCCAGGGCAGCATCCACCAGTGCCTGTGCTGCCTCTTCGGCAGCCTTCTCAGGCGACTTGCCCGCCGCGGGGGCCTCTTCCAGATACTTACGAGTCATGTCACACGCCTCAGAGTCCGAGAGGGCGTCCCACAGACCGTCTGTAGCCAGCACCAGGAACTCGTCTTCTGGGCTGCGGCCAATCACAGTCACCTGCACGCAAGGAATGGCGAATTTAATCTTCTAAGCTTTTGATGAGAGAATTGTAACCGCAAATGATCGAAGGCAATGTTGAACAAGGAACTCATCTTCTGGGCTGTTCCCACTCAAAAACACCGCAGGGCTCAAAAAACTCAGACTTCCAATTTCCTGATAAAAACATTACCAAAGCTGCAGCCAATCACAGTCACCTGCGCGTAAGGCATGGCCAGCTTAAGCTGGCAATCTCTTGACGATGATGTTCACAATACAAACGATCGAAGGGAGTACTGCAACGGGAACCTATCTTCTGCGCTGTGCCCAATCATGTACACTGCAAGGTTGAATGACATTGGACTTCCAAATTCCTGATAACATTGCAATGCAATGAAGAGCGAAGGCAAATTTATGCAAAGGAATCTGGTAAGGCCCAGCGTGTGCAGAGCCGAGCAGAGGAGGCCAGCTATGCTCTTGCGCTGTTTTGTGCCCAATACTTTGGTGCTGCAGTGCGTCCTTTGTGCCCTCTGGGCTAATTTGCGTCCTGTACCACGGTGCATCGATGCGCGCTGTGCGTTAGCTTGGCTGCTGTTACTTGATGCAACTACATATGCAGTCCTCAGCACAAGTTTGATGTACCTGTTGGGTGTACCAATACTTTGGTGCGCTCGTGCATGCAATGCTATTTGCTCAAGGTATTTGCTCAATTCCGTGCAGTTGTGCACTCAGTCCTTGATGCGATTGTGTGTGTAATATTTTAGGTCAGTCGTGACCATTCGGTGTAGTTTGCGTGCAATAACTTGGTGCGCTCGTGCAAGCAATGTGCTGCATTCAATCCTTCATTTAATGAATGTGTGTGCAGAAAACTTTGCAGAATGTGTGCGCAGAAAACTGCAGCACTGTGCTGAGCCATAGAGTACAATATAGGATGGTGCTGTGCAGAACAGCAAAATAATGCGACAGCCACCACAGTACATGGCACTGTTGCATAGTCCTTTCCTCGCCACTCGAGCCACAGTACACTATATAACACATCGATGCAGCCCATTACCACTCACCTCTGGATCTGCAATAACACCTGCATTCCTGAGGTAGTGGTCACCCAGGGCGCGAGACACAGCCAGCAGCCCCATCACCCTCTTGCCACCGTAGTCAAGGACAGCTCCCCCCGCTGCCCGGATCCTTTCCTAAAAGAACGAAACAGCAAACTAGGTTAGATCATCCGTTGGGGAAACCCAATACCTCCGAACATCAAGCATTACTTTTGGCACTCATGAAAAAAAGCACACGGCCTAACAACTAGGCAACACTGCAGCTGGCTGCAACTTGCAACAAGTCACAGAGTCACAAATACCAAAAGAACAGGCACCAGGGCACGCAGTACTGGATGCAGGACACCTTCCGCATAGCACTGTCCTCAGCACGGCTGTTGAGTCCCAAGGCCCCACGATCCCAAGGCTTGGATCCACTTGGAGATGCTAAAGTGTGCAGTGGCGCATCAGCTCTGCGCTATGACGTTACACTGGTATTAATGTCCATACCCATTGCTAGATCATGCAAGTTTTTCTATCCTCCAATGGTGGTATCTGTACTTTCTACTGCAATCCAGTTTTGTGGATTCTCTGTGCTATTCTAAACATCACATCTCATGCAACACCACATTCGGGCTCCTGGCGCCGCCCCCACTTCAGAAGGGACACCATTTGTGGCCACGACAATATTGCCCTGTGGCTTGCCACGATGGCTGAGCGCAAGGTGCACCAGTCCCCTAAACCACCTCTGATTCTGCACATGAAAAACAATGGACATGCACACTTGTGCACATGCACAATGTCAGCAGTTCCGTCAGCTGATGTCAAGGTGCAGGTGCCTGATCATTCCTCAACTGGCTTGCTGACATCGACTGGGATTTCCATTGTGAGGTCTGTGACAATCTGACATTATTGTTGGCACTGACTGCTGCTGATTTTGTGACAGTGACATTCGTTGCTGATGTTTACTGTGAACCGTGTTGCTGACATTGTGCGAATGCTGATGCTTGTATTTGGCCAAAACAGGTGAGAAACCAAGACCTTTGCAGCTGCTGACAATGTCTATGAGCACAAGCATGCATGTGTGCTGTGCAAGTGCGTTGTCTTGTCACTGTGTCATTCACAGAAGCAGCCACTAAAACCGCTGAATGTGCATAACGGCTGGGTACGTTGTTTGTCGCCCAGCACCAAGGCAAATGGACCCACGCGATGCACACAATCGCAACTGGTAACCCTAGAATCATTGTTATCCACACTGCCTCAAAGGGCGCAAGTGTACAGCCGTTCTTCGACCAAATCAAAGCATCGTACTGCTAACACAGTGGCTGTAATTGCATACCGCAGCACAAATCTATAGATGATGGCCAATTGATTCAATTCTGGAAACTTCCCTGATACTTCACTGGAGGTACTTGACAATGTGTTGAACTTGCTTGACAAGAATAGAGTTTGCTTGACAAGAACTGAGGACCTGAGTCTGGCGTTGCGATCGCCCCCCAACACTGGCTCCATCCCATTCACATACCAACTTGACAGTACAGAGCCTACACATGACTAGTCTCTCTTGAGCTAAATCGATGATGAGATAATAGAGGTAATACACTAACAACTCAGGGAGCGTAGACCAACACGCAACCAGGAGAAAAGTAATCTCAGCAGCAATGTGCGATGAGGTGCAGCAATCTCAAAACTGCAATCACCGCGCGAGTTGGCATCATTTCTGGTGCCGCAAAGTCCATGGACTATCCTCACTATCAGCCGCCAATGGCACATACCACGCCCCCACCCCAAAACAGCACCGACTCGAAACATCTTGACACTATGCACATAAAACGATATGACGATACAATAATGCTGCCAGCTTCTTGCTGTGACCAGTGAGTTCTTAGCTTCCAACCTGCAAGCTTTCTGGTGTGGCTGAACGCTGTACAGTGCAAGCTATAACCCCTGGTCAAGAGGTAACAAGCAACAACAGCTTGCAACAAGGTAACATGCAAAGTGCACCATGCAATGTGGTGTTATAATGAACCAAACAAGCTGTATCTTTGGCAGCAGCAGCAAGAAACAAAAAATAATGTGCCGCAAGCCCTTTGCTGTAACCTCTGCATCATAGGCTCATCCCTGCCAAAACCCCTTGCTGTGAGCCAGTCAGGCCATGCACCTCCTTGGCACAGAGCTCAGCCACTCTAAACCACACCAGCCGCTGAGCAACTGCACTGGCCGACAACTCCCAGCGAAAAGCGCACACCGCACTCCACAACTCGCTGCCAAATCAGCGCACAGTTTACTGCAATACGCCCAAATCCAGCCCCAGGAGCCAGAATGGAACACAAACCAGAAAACCGAGACAGAGGTCACGGGCCAGCAAGAAGCGAAGATCATACTCACCGTCTCGTCCTCCACACCGGGCTTGTGGTCCCTGGTCATCCTGAAGGCATTCTTGCCTCTCGACAGCACCGCCCTGGAGTCGCCGCAGTTTGCAACACAAATGTGGGTCTCACAGACGAGCGCAATCACTGCCGTCGTGCCCATCTCCATGGCAACCAGCTGGTCTTTCAGCTGCCTGTCCATCCGATGGAATGCCTCCACGATCGCATCCACCAGCATCTGCGGCGTCAGCCCCGGGTGCCTCCGCGCCGCAGCCACCATCTCATCATCCGACGGCAGTATGGGGAGAGGCGCCGGGGTGGCAACTTTCGGCACAGCATCTTCAGCCATCATGTTCTCACACGAGTCCTGGGCAGCCGCCCCCTCCGCCGACTGCTCCCCAGAGTCCGCGATTGTCCCGTTGGGCGGCTGCACCCCCACAGGGTTGTCGTCCCCAAATGCACCCAGCACAGAGGCAAACGACTGCTTGTAGAAAAGGTGCAAGTGTGTGGCAGCCTCCTTGGACACAGCCTCACCGCCGTGCCCATCATAAACGCCAGCATAGTGCCACATCGCCAGAATGCGCCTCTGCGGCCCCACGCCCTCCGAGCTGGGCTCAGCGGGCGCCCCGGGGCCAGTCCTCCTCGGGCCATCGCTCCAGAGCGGCCTCAAACCCCTCTCAACCATCTTGGGCACTATCCTTTCCCCCTCCTTGGCCAGCAGGGGCAGAACCACGAGGTCAGGCCCGTTATATCCGTCATCTTCCATCTCCGACCTCCGACCCAGAGATTTTATCGTCACGATGGGCGGCGGCGGACCCGCGGGCAGATCGCCGCCGCCGCCTCCGGCGTCGGTCACGGGGCATGCGGCCCCTTTCGCCAGATCGGCTTCCATGTCGGTGGAGGGCTTCCGATCTTCGGCGTTGTCCGCGCCTGGAGGGGGGTTGAGGCACAGCACGGCACAGGTAACGACAAGAGCACGGCACAGCACTGTGGCCGGGAATAAATATACACGTGGGGCAAAAAAAAGGAAAAAATCCCTCCCGGTGGGAAGCGCCAACAGGTTTCTGGACAGGGGAGCCATGCCGGCGCCGCGGCGGGGTCCGATCTTCCCCTTCGTGCGCGTCCGTAGCAGGGCAGAAGCGCAGCTTGGCGGCGGCATGGAAGATTGTGGCCGGAGCTCGACCAACGTACCCGGGAAGGGAGCGAACGCGGCTGGGGACATCGCTTGGCGACAAGCAGGCGGGTGCGGAAAAACGATGGCGGCTTTCGGGCTGCGATTCCCACCGGCTTGAGGGGAGGGGGAATTTGCGACGGGCCTGGGGCGGAGAGGCGGCTTTAGATGGGCTACCGCGAGCAGGCCGGCCGGTGGAGCTGCCCGTATGGTCCAGGCCTCTGTGTCGGACGGGGAGAATTCGTGGCCAGATGGCGGCCGGGCCAGGACCCCTCAGAGCCGGGGCGGCGGCCTCAGGGCGGCCGGGTGGGAACCATTGATCGTCCTCGAGCGCCCACGGCGGGAGGGGGCGAAGGGCGGATGGCCGGCGCGCCAGGTGCATCATCGCCTCCGCCAGGTTTTGTGTTCCCCGCGCCCGCGCCGTCAGTATCCTGCCGCGGTTGGGGATCGAGCCCAGGGCGCCCGGCGTGATCGCTCGCGGGCAAATTGATCGTGGAAAAAGACGATGCCGCGGTTCCCGTCGGGGGAGATGGTGGCCAGGTTGAGTGGCGAGCCCGGCGAGGGTGCCATAGCGTGCCCTTCGCTTTCGGAAGCGCTGGAGGATCGTTCATATGGACGCTGTCGAGCGCGGGGGGGGGAGAGGGGGCGGCGGGCATCGATCCAAGCCGCCCTGGAGGAAGGGGGGAGGGGGGAGGCGCGTGCGCAGGGAAATGAACCGGCAGAAGATGGCGGAGTCGCGGGGAAGCCATCTCGGCCGTCGACCCCACGGGCGGATCGTGTGGCGCTTCCGGAAGGGGGGGCGGGGCTGGGTGGGGTGGGGGGCCGCCACAGCCGAAGGGCCGGCCGGCCTTATGGCCCGCCGGCCAGCAGCCAGCACAGCACGGCCAGCACAGCAGCCGCGGTGGGACACGCGGCCCTGGCCGGCATGCCGGCCCACGGCCTCCACGGCGCCGCGGCCGAGAGCCCCGCCACGCCGCCGATCCCGCCGGGCCCTTCGCCCCCACCAGTCCCGACCCCATGGCCCCATCCCCGGGGCCTCCTCCGCTCCTTCCCCCGCCGCGTTCCCATTCCCGTCGCAGGCGCTCTTCCGATGGCTCCAGCCCGCGGGCGCCGGCCGGGCCCGTCGAGGCCGCCGCCCGCCGGATCGGCCGTGAAGCCGACCGCCAGAAGCTGGTCCCCTCCCGGCACCCCCCCTTCCCCCTCCCTGGTTCAATCCAGCTACCACGCACCCAGCTCACACACCACACCCCGGTACAGCCGGCACTGACGCCTCTCGCACCAACTGCGCGACTATCCATCAAAACTCCAGCCCAGCTCGACATCGCCCAAACTCGCCGCGCCCGATCTCACGCGCGATTTTTCCACCCCCGAAGTTTTTCCGCCAGCGAGTCTCCGCCGCAATTTTCCGGCTCGCAGGGAGGCAAGCCTCCGCGTCCTTCCCCCGCCACCCTGGGCTCCACCCCGCTTCGTCCGTCACCACCACGCCGCAAATCATGATCGGAAAACCGCCACGGATCGCCGTCAGCGGCGCCATGCCGCCACGCGCGCGGTTGAGGCCAGGGCGCACCTGCCGAGGCCGGCAGCCCGGCACCGATCGAGCCCATCGTCGTGAGGGCATCGAATAGGCGATTGCGGATCGCATTCTTGGCTCACCTCTGTCGCCGCCGCCCGCCGCCTCGTGGCCGCGTAGGCTTGCGAGGGCGTTCGTCGTCGCGCGTGCCAGGTAGCCAAACAAGCTCTCAGACATTGCCCAAAGCTCCAGGTGCGGAGAAACAAGTTCCATGCCGTTTGACGACCGTACCCTTTATCGACTAAGGAAGTTAATTGCTCGCCCCGTCAATGGTGATTTGTGCATGAGGCTGTCGCGGCCTTTGAGCCAGAAGGCAGATTCGAGGCCTTGGCCAGAGACCAAGAACCGGCGGATGAGAGGCTTCAACGTTTCTCGTGCCGCAGATGCGCGGCAGCGCGGACGAAGGCTTCTACGGGACCGCGGGACCACCGACACCCGCGTACAACAGTGTTGTGTTGGTTTGGGGGTGTGTGGCACGGAGAGCCGGAGAGGAGAGGGCGTACGAGGTGTATGCGGGATCTTGCCTCCGGCCGTGAGGCACACTCGCGGCAGAAGCGCGGCAGCGCGGACGAAGGTCCGGGGGGGGCAAGCTGCTGATGGCCCTGCGCACACCGGAAGGAGGACGCTGGTGTCTGCAAGGGAGGGGTTCGTCTAACCGTCCTGTGGTAGGCACCTGGACGTCATGACGTCCAGTTATGTGCCTGTTTGTGTGCCTTGTATGCCAGTTTGTATGCCTGTGAACACAGGCACCCATTTGTTTCGTGCCAGTCTCTGGTGGAGACGGCCAAATCTCTGCCACACAAGGCCCAGTGGGGCCGCAAGAGAAGTTGCTGGCCGCGCCTCACTTTGTCGTGAACGGAGATGGCAGGCCACCTTGGCAGTGGCTTAGGTGACTTGTTCAGGGACGGAAAGAAGCGCATGGACGTTCCTGTTTGCATGCACACCGTGGTTGCCTGCCAGGTGCAAGGTCACCGTTTTGTCTTATCAAAGACAAGTTCAAAGGAAACTTGCAGCAGCAGACCGAGACACTAACATGGGCACCAAACTGCGCCCTCCGCTTTGGACTTCCATCAGGGACTTCCCATGTACGCCACTGCCTTAGTGTGTGAAGCTCGCTGACCGTCAGCACCACATGACAGCTCCAAATCTGCCCAACAGTGTGCGGTGGATTGGAGCGGTCGTGGCACGTGCACCCACAACTGCTGGGGAACGCGAGGGGCCTGCGTCGCACCTTCGTCAGGTCTGTGTTTCACATTCACGTCAAAACCTGACTGTAGTTGTGCAAACGCCCATATTTGGCAGAATCGTTCGGGTGCCCGTGTTCAACACGAACTTCGTGTTGGCTGCGCAATGCCTGGCGCGCTTTCCCTCCAATGATGACCTGTCGCACCCACTGCAACGTCAATATAGGCCGATTGAACACTCATGCTTGGTCTTTGCGGCGTAAACACTGAGTGCTATGCGTGTTTGTGCACAAAAATAGCATTTACGTTTAACATGTAAATAGGCGTAGAAATACGTAACTTTTGACCCAGTGTACATAAAGGCAGTACGCGTGGACTCAGGAAATCCCGGGAGCGGCAGCTAGACACACTAGAGTGGATATAAAATGAACTTTTGTTTGAACACACATGGTCAAGGCGTATGTCTTTGCCATTGCCAACAGCGAGGTGGAGCTGTGTTCCGGGTGCTCGAGCAGGCAGAGGACTGATCATTGTTTACAACTTGGCCATGTGACCTGGATATCCCGAAGGGCCTTAGAAATACACAAGTACAGCCATAAAATATACCCTTTGCAGATTTACATTTTCACGTGTAAAATCGTAAATGCGTAAATGCAAACACGAACATAAAGATCAAGCATGTGGACATTGTTCCAGAAACATTGTTGTGGGACTTACAGCTCTATAGTGCTCACTGTGCTGCACCACGTTTTTAGAAAGGGCTTCGGTTCCATTTCAACACGGGTCAGTTTTCCAGTACACGATTTGTTCCCATTTTAACAAATATTGAGCAGATTTGGTAACTGCGCGAAATTGGGAGCTTTTGCCAATGATTGGGTTCCACAGCGGCGCCTCGCCCTCGGCAAGGGCAAAGACGCGCTGCGTGCATCAGGCCTATATAAGGCTCGTCATTTGCATTTCTGGCCAACTTGTTGGTGATTGGGCGAACGCGCGCATTCGGGCAGCACCCTTCGCATGCTCTTAGAGAACAGCTGTTGGATAGGAAGCGCACTGTTCGAGTTCCCACAAAGTGACCAACATTTGGTGGCCACATTTGTGCTTTGGTCACCGAATGAGGGCGCTGGCCATTTGGCCCAAGGCGGCATGGAATGGGGCCTGTGATGGCGTCATCTCCAGTGCATTACTAAGGATGGCGCTCAGGGCCATCACGGCCGTCGCCTGCACCTGGGAGGCTGATGGAGTGGCCGTTTTTAGGCATCATGTGAGGCTGGCATTAATTCAATATTGTCGTGGGATTTGATGGGTTCATGGCACGGAGGAAGCAAGCGAACCGCGGGGTGCAACATGATGAAGCACAGGGAGTAGCGCAGTGAAGCACTCGGTGCAGAGTGATGTGCCGCGGGGCGCTGGGCGATGCGCTGCAGGGCTCGAAGTGATGGGTCGCAGGTTGCAATGCGTAGTGGCGCGGGGTGAGAAGGGACAAGGAACGGTGGACGGACATTCTTGTTGAGTGGACGTGTGAGTTCGTGATGAGAGCCGGGCATGGCGTGTCGTGCCCACTATATACGAGTTTGGCGTTGTCCACACTAGTGAGGCAAGGGCCGAGAAGGGTAAGTCCTAGGGATTTGTAAGGATTTGTCATGTGTACGCGCTCCTGGACTCGCTGGCAGGGACATGTGGGGTTGGTGATTCAGAGTCGTTATTGGCGTACTTTGCGTTATGGCATGAGTCGATCTCTCGAGCCATGGATAATATGCGTTTTCCCTCTCTTCGAGCCTACGGGGAGTATGACGCAGAATGTTGGACTGCACGGGCTTTGGGTGATGGAATTGGTGTGCTTCGATGGCCATGGCAGGTGCCAATCATGACTGGGCGTCAAGGCCATTGAAGGTGAACGGGAAATGTGTATTATGAAGTGATCACGGGCTAGTTGGAGAGTGGCGAGCGCCGATTATTCTGCCATGATCGGCATGTTGCCACCCATGCTTTGGTAAGGAGAATGGCAGTAGGAGGGCAAAGTTTCAATGAATTGCTGAAAGCATGCAGTGGATCACCGGCCAGGGCAACATGGGTGTCGCCTGATGTGTTTGACCGAGTTTTGACAGGGCACGTTGACTCATTATTAGGGCGGAGGTGAGAGCGCGTACGGAAGGGGGCTTGAAGGCATGTCCGCCCTATAAAATACTGCTGCGTGTATGAAGGATTTGCCACCCTCATTTTGGAACGTAGTGGTCATCAGCGACTTAGCCCAAGTTTTTGGCTTTCATTTGTGTTAGCTCTGATGATCATCCCATCGTTTTGTGAATGATGCTGAGCATGGTTTTAACAACACCATGAATTGTGCAGCCAACATAAAGTTCGTGTGGCTGCACAATGCGTTGTGCGCCTCCCTTCCAATGCTGAGGATTGGACCCAAGAGCATTGATACTAACAAGACAAAGGACGTTGGTTAAAAGTCCTGGAAACGTGACATGTAGGTTAGTGCTTGAAAGCACTTTGTTGTTGCACTTGGGTTCGACCAAATTTTGGACCCATTTTATACGGGTTAACCCTCAAAGCATGATCTGGTTGACAACCAGTGGTTGTATTCATTCGTATTTTAACTCAAGTTAAACATAGGGCGGTCAATGAAAAAAGTGAGGAATATTCTGCCAATGACCAGGCCCGCCAACGGGGCTTCACTCTCACAATATTCGAAATTGAAGCTCACAATTCAACTCCAATGATTTTGGTGAAAATTTTTAACGTGCAGCAGCACGTCTACTGGACATCCTACGTGATTGTATCGTGTGAATTGCAAATAACAGTGGACTAAATCAATTATGCTTTCCCCATTTTATTTGTTGTTCTTTTTGCAAGCTCTGCCGAATGGCATGTTTCAACGATCAGAATATGCCCATCTTGCAACCAACCTTCGTTCTGTTTTGGACAACTTTAAATTCATTTTGAGAACATGGCTGAACACATGAGCACATGATTACGTTTAGTGCATTGCTGAAAAATTGTTCCTCAGCAATGTGCTGTATGTCAAGCCGGTTTTATCAACTGATACTCATGGTCTTTCTCTCTGTCAATTTGCCACATAGTGTCAACTATTATATGTCACATATTACGCGCATCACATGTTATGCACATCAATATAACATCACGATGTTTCCTTCGTTCTGCATCCAATATTCCCAGCGACTCTACACCGCTGTTTTGGCACAAATGCGTAATTTGGATATTCAATGACATTCTTTCGTACTAATACATGTGAGTGTATATGATGATGCCCAAAATGTAGATGTGGATTTTGAAACAAAAAGTTGACAGATCTGCGAACCACATGGCTCAGTTAAAAACATGGCCAAATTTCAGAATTTTGGGGCGCGGGACGCCCATACGGCGTCCTGCGCATTTTCCCCTAAGCCCCCAGCCTACGCCCGCGGGACGGGTGGAATCGCACACGTGGCGTCCCGCGCCCCTTTCTTCCACTTCACTGGTTCCAAGGAGGGATGAGACCCGGGTACCTGTGTACCCGGGCCATGTACGGGAATTTCCTGTACCCGTCTACCCTTGTACCCGTCCACCTGTGGACCCGGGTAGCAGGGTACGGGTACGCACCAGGGCACAGGCGGGTACGGGCGGCTGTGGGTGGGTACAGGAGGGTACAGGCGGGTACAGGTGATTATGGGCGGGTGCAGGCGGGTACTGCCTGTGCCCGTGGCAGGGTGCGTACCCAGGCATCACTGAAGGTTTGACCAGCAGTCGTCGCCCAATGACCGCCGTTGGGCACGC